AGATAAGTAAAATCAATAATGACCACATTAGTCTGTCCTTAAAAATAAGAACTTCTTTTGAAAAATATAAGTATGTGCTCTTAAAAATTTTTGCCATCTTCACCCAGGCACCGGTGGCTCATACCTATAATCCTAGCTACTTGGGGGGGCTGAGATTGGGAGGACTGAGGTTCGAGGCCAGTCTGGGGAAATAGCTCTCAAGACCCCATCTTGAAAATAACCAGAGCAAAATGCACTGGAGATGTGGCTCAAGTGGTAGAGCGCCTGCCTTGCAAGTGGAAATCCCTGAGTTCAAACTCCAGTCCTGCCAAAGGGAAAAAAAAACAACTACCTGCCCCAAGAAAAATAGGTCATCAACTCACATTCCACTGCCTGAGGAGGCAGAAGCATGGCGTGACGCCTCATTTGCCGATAAACCTCTTGGGGTATCTGGTGAGACTTCTCCCTCACTCTCATCTGAATGATGCCAAGTGCAGTTTTGGCTGGTTTCTCTGAGCAGTCACTTCCCTTACTTACCCCAGGGTTTTCTACCCATTGGGTTATATGGCAGGAATCTTATATTCGACAATATGCAGCTGTCTTTGGCAAATCTTAAACAGATGCAAATGCAATGTTTTAAAATTTCCTTTCCTCAGGAGCTTGAAGAATGAAAAAGCCCATTCCTTAATTTCATAGTTCAACGAGCAGCTTGAGTAACTGGGGCTACGTGCTCGCTCACACTGAGCACGGGAGGAGATCTAGAAAATGCTGACCTGAAGTTAGACTTGCAGGCAGTCACAGACTTTCAAAAGCTGAAAGGAATTTTCTAACTGATAGCAGAGAAATTTAAGTCTGTTACCCAGGGCTAATCTGCTGTGGAAATCTCAAATTTAACCAGTCCAAAACAGTTGTTTTTGAGTCAGTCTTGCTTATGTAGCCCAGGCTGGCCTGGAACTTGCCATTCTCCTGCCTCTGCCTCTGAGCACTGAGATTACAGGCCTGTACCACTATGTCTGGCCTAAACAGCATTCTTCATCTTTACTCCATGATGTTCTGCCCGTAAATCTATGCCATCTCAGGCAATGGTACCTCTATCCTCTACCTAGTTGCTCAAGTCTGTCCTTCCTTCCTTCTCTCCCTCCCTCCCTCCCTCCTTTGTCTCCTTCCTGCGGTGCTGAGGCTCAAACCCAGGCCTCTAGCTGAGCCATATCCCCAGCTGGACTCCTCTATTCTTGCTCACGCTCCATGTCCAATGCCCCAGCAACTTCTGTCCACTGCACTTATTTTTATGGTGCAGGGGACTGAATCCAGGGCCTCACACATGCTAGGCAAGCAACTTACCACTAAGCTATACTCCCAGGCCCCTCAAGAGTTTTTAAGCGGAAGACATTTAGAATAGTGTGTCACAGAGTGGCTCAAATGGTAGAGTGCCTGCCTAGCAAGCCTAGCCAGTCTGAGGCCCTGAGTTCAAACTCCAGTGCTGCCAAAACCAAAAACAAAATAAAGTACCTTCTGATTCATCTGCTCCTTTCCACACTGTCACCAGTTTAGGCTAAGCTGTTGTCATTTGTCACTGGACTCCTGTGTCAGCCTTCTCACTAGTCTCCAATTCTTCTCTTGCCTCCCTGCAATTCTCTACACAGCAGTGAGGGACTCTTTAAAAAAAGTACAAATGCCATCTGGTCACGGGCTTGTGTAGAGCTCTCTTCCCAGTACAAGGTCAGCAGATGCCTGTGGTTCACACCTGTAATCCTAGCTATGTGGAAGCAGAGATCAGGAGGATCATGGTTTGAGACCAACCCTGGGCAAATAGTTCTTGAAACCCTATCTTGAAATTACCCAACACAAAAAAGGGCTGGTGGAGTGGCTCAAGTGGTAGAATGCTTGCCTAGCAAGCAGGAGGCCCTGAGTTCAAACCCCAGTATATCAAAAAAAAAAAAAAAAAGCTCAGCTTTTCAGCTCACCTTACAAGGCTCCCCACAATTTCATTGTTGCTCCCTTGCAACTCCAAAACTCCATCTCTCATTGGCTGTCTCAGCCTTGCTAGCTTTGCCTCTTCCTAGGAATCCCAGCGTCCTTTCCTGCCTTGGGACTGTGGACTTCTTGTCCCTCAGCCTTCAGGGGACTGGCTCCTTTTAACCAATCTGTCCTTTCTCCAAGAGTTTTCCAGCAGGACCTTTGCTCTACCTTCATTCAGATCATCTCTTCTCATCTGGGCAAGTAGCTGAGTAAGTCTGTTAAGCCACTGTTTGTAGACTCTTCCCCCCCTCCCCAGTCTATCAGCTCCTAGAACAGCTCCTGATACAGAAAGTCATTCAACAAACATTGTTGAATGACTGGTCTAATTCCAGTTTTCAGAACCAGTACACCATACTGTGGCTGTGGGCTCACAGCCGGCAGTCGCATTAACTATCTGTGGAATGTGCAGTCAGAACTGCCTGGGTGTAAATTCCTTCCCAACTCGTTTCTAGTTGTATAACTACGCAAGTTACTCATCAGCCTTCTGTTTACTTACCTGTAAAATGGACATAGCAGTCCTACTCTGCAATGTGTTGTAGGAATTCAATGACATCATTCATATAAAAAGTAGAGCAGAATGCTTGGCTTGTAATATGGTTATTTTTCTTTTCCCTGAGTCTTTCATAAATTATATTTAAGTGTCTTTTACTCTGTGACAGACACTATTCTAAGTGTCTTACATGGATTAACTACTTCAGTCCACACAGAAACTCTACAGGGACCTGGGAGTAAGGTACTTGCCTAGCATGTGTGAGGCCCTGGATTCAATCCCCTGCACCATAAAAGATAAAAATAAATCTCACTTACATTTCAGATAAAGTCTTTATTAGTTGAGATAATAACTACAGAGACTCAGATCTACTTCTTGCCCTAATGGAAAAACTGTCGCTTGTCAGGTGAGATTCAAGCAATTTTACTCCGCAAAAATCACTTACCTGCAGGCCTGGCATGGTGTCTCATGCCTATAACTACAGTTACTTGGGAGGTGGTGATCAGGAGGATCACAGTTTAAGGAAAGCACTGGCAAAAACTTAGCAAGATCCCCTCCGTCTCAACCAATAAAGCCAGTGTGGTGGCTCACACTTGTAATTCCAGCTACAGAAGAGGCATAGGGTGTGATTGTGGTCCGAGGCCAGCCCAGGCAAAATGTGCGATGCCCTGTGTGAAAAACAGGTGTGACTTAAGTGGCAGAGTGCATGCCTAGCAAATGTGAGGCCCTGAGTTCAAACTTCAATAGCACAAAAAAATTTACTTCTGTTGAAACTCTTAATACAAGCTGCCCTTTGCTAGATCTATTTATGTACATGTCTGTCTTTTCCACTAGAGTATCAGAAACCATGTTTAATGGAAACTTTTGTAGTCCCAAATAGTGAACTGAAGTACAATGGACAGGAGAACTCTGGGTTCTCAAACACAGCACCCTTCCTCCCAGCCTTCCATCTTCCCACTGATCCAGTAATGGAGGTGATTTACAAAAACCCTTCAAGATCTGGAAATCTGCATTGCCTGCTCTTATTCCCTACGGCCACTCTTACACCCTTGGGGCTTCTCAGTTCTGCATTTTGCAAGTGAACTTACGTTGTTGCTTCTGGCAACTTTCTCCCACAAACACAAATTCCCATGAAGTGGTTTCTAGATGAGTGGACCAACGTTAACACTTTCACCTGGTCTTACTCTCAATCCCCTGATCTCTTTTATGAGTTGCTGCTGACTAGCGTCTAGATCGATAGATACTGTAGAGTGCATATCTGAGTGCAGGCTGTGTGTCAAAGGCAAATAAATAAAACGAAGCAAAAGTCCCTGACTTGGAACTGTAGGTTCCAAGGCAGGAAATTCTTTCAGGACAGGAAGTAGCTATGAGCTTTCCCTGCCAAACAATACTTCAACTCTCCGACCTTCCCCACCCCGCCCCGCCCCCGAAAGATCTGCTGGTGTGGTTTCAACCCAGCAGACGCGGAATAGTCGGAGAAAGGGCCAAGGAACTGCAGGAAGCATTACCACCTGTGTACGCTGACATCCACTAAACAGGCCTGGCCTCCGGCTGTTGCTGGGTGTGGGTGGAGCTAAGGGGGAACAGGAACTGCTCAGACCCAGGCTGGTTTGTTTTCTGGTTGTTCTGGGGGAAAATGCCAAGGAAGTACACGGCCACTTCCAATAGCCAAGAGGCAAAGGGAAATGCACTCTGCTCACTAGTACAGCGGGGCTGGGATGAAGGGGTCACTTAGAGCTATTTTCATACTCGTTTCCTCCTTCCTAAAATTCGTGTATTCCTGGTGCACTAATGTCACACGATGATGAAGTTTCTCAGCCTCTTTATGCTAGCTGAAGCCTGTGATGGCGTTCTGGCCAACTTCAGCAAAAGTGTTGTGTGTGACTTCCAGAAGATTCTTGGAAGTCGAGGCTTGACTGTTTGTCCTTGCCTTCTTTTCTTGATGCTGCCAGGAATTTCAAACTGATGGCTGTTGGCCAAGTGGCTATTCCGGTGACCTTGAGAAAGAGACCATGCTGTGGTGCAGGCAGAAGACCTCATGCTGGTCTTGGCCTGGCTACTTCCCGCATTCGTTCTGAGAGAGACATACTTCTTATGCGAGCTGTCACTGACTTGAGTTTCTGTTAAATGCAGTCAAACCTAGCTCTGACACCCTGATTATTCTGGGCTTTTCCTAACCTCCAAGTGTGGTGGTTTGTGTTACCTAGCTCTATCCCCCAACAATGCTGGAAGATAGTGGAAGCGTGCGTTACGTCAGAAGAGAAAACGAGCTGAAGCAAGGACGCTCACCCAATGTCACTCACCTGGCTGCCTGGAGAGCAGTGGCTCTGGAAGCCTGGGCTCCTTATCATGATGATTCCAGGCAAGTGCTCTCTCACCGAGCCACATCCCAGCCCTACCCTGGTGATTTAAAAAGCATGATGGAATGATAGAGGGTAGGGGCTTAAGCAGTACAGTGTCTGCCTGGCAGGCACGAAGCCCTGAGTTCAAAACCCCAGTACTGCCCTAAATAAATAAATAAATAAATAAATAAATAAATAAATACAGGTAAATGCTGGGTATTTTAAAAAAAGCATTTAAGCACACTTACCTTTTCTGTCAAAAGATCAACTATCAAGGGGCCTTCACAGTCCCTGACTTTAAAAGCATCCTTCAAGTTGCCTCCAGAATACTAATGCCACATTAAAATGAATCAGAACTCTGTATTGTTAAACCACACATTCAAAGAGATGAATCCTCAAACAGTTGAAAACACATTGTGAATAAGCAATTAGTAAAATGAATGTGTTAGTGTTTTAAGAGCCTCACAGACTTGATGATTAACGTAGAGTTGACAAAAGTCTTTAGGAGGAAAAAGCAGAGGTGGGACTTTTTTTCATTATAATGCAAGCAAAACTGGATCAGGAGGTGTCAACATAGAAAAGTTTTAATGAGACAAATGTCAAGCAAGCATATCAACTTCTTAAAAAACAGAAAATCTAGAAGTTTAATTACAAAAACACTTGTACAGAAAACTTGGCATTTCAACAGTTCCAAACACATGTACACAATATTTTTTTCCTAAAATTTGTCAGAAATAAAACACCTTGTCTGCTTTTCCTCAGCTGCTCCTTGTGTTATAATAAAAAGGAGGAAATTTGTAACACTGAACAGGCAACAGCTTATTTCTTGAGAAGAACATGAGTGCAGACACACCTACTGGTTTGCTGGGAATCATGGGTTAGGTCTCCTGCCAACCTGTCACCTCACTTACCCTTTCCTCACTAAGCACAGAGGAGAGGAGGTGGTGCAGACCTGCCCCACAGAACCTGGCACCTTTGTGGCAGCTGAATCCCAGCCACCAGTGAGTCAGGTGTGGAGCTACTGAAGAGCCAGCATTTGACAGCAAGCTGCTGCTTCTGTGACAGTGATTCCAGGCTGCAGGGCCACAGGCTCTCTGATGATCTCATGCATTCTGAATACGCAAATGAGTCCAGTCGCTGTGAGGTGCCCATCTCAAGTCAGGAGAAGGCTGATCTTTGGACTAAGCCTTTCCTGGTCGCAAAAGCAGTGCTAGCTACCATGAAGGAGAATCAGTAACTCTAGGAGGAAGGAAGAAAGGACAGGAAGCATCTGGCGGAAGCAGATACAAATTTCCAGAACCAGCTTGGATGTCCTTCTGCCACAGACAGTTCGTTCTAGCTTGGACTTAACAGGCAAGAAGTCTAAGAGAAGTGGCAAAAACAGCAGATGAGAGCAGGGAAATGGGAGGATGCAGAAGCAGCAGTGTTGGCAGGTTTTTTAACAAGAGACAGCAAAGGGGTCTTAGCTAAAAGACTGCCAAGTAGCGGTATGTGGGCTTCAGTGCATGGAGGCATTAAAAGGGGTTTCTGATACTGTTGCTGTTTTCCTTTGGATTAATAAAGCACACACATGGGGAACGTGATGCTGAGAAGACAGTGGTGCAGCCTCACCATAGGGGCTCTGGCTCACCCCCTGGGCTTAGGGGCCATGCTTCATCCCCTTGCTTTGGTGGCAGGGTGCCTAGACAATGGGCTCAGCATGTTCTGCTTTGGTTCCAAATATCTCAGCTGCCACCTTTAGCCTTGTGCTCTAGAGCATGAAGAAGAAAAAAACAAAATAAAAAACAAGACCCTGAGGAGAATCAGAACCCTCTTACCCTTGCTGTTAAAAACCAGAAACCCCTAAGGAGAGGGAAGGGAAGCCTGTCTTCCTCACATGGATTTGGCAATTAATGGCTACAGAAGTCAGACAAAGCTCGAGAATTCCTTTGTGACCTTCTGTCAGCTCAAGAGACAATGTCCAAGGTCATCTCCACCTGTGTGAATCTGCCAATCTGGGCGCCTAAAGACAGGGAGTCTTCCACTTTCACTTTGGGTGTTTTTTTCAATACCAAGTGACAGCTACTCCTTCCTTCCTCCCTGTTTACCATTGACCTTTTCCTCAGAAAAAATGCTTCACAAGGCTCTGCCAACAGAGGAGGACCAAAGAGCCTTGCTGGGGCTGGGACTCTGTATCTGAGCAGGAGTAATGCTCAGAGAACAGCAGGCAGGACCAGGGAGGAAGGAGAGAGCATTCTCCTCCAGGGCGGCAATCACAGGGACTGCTGAGGGCTGGCACCAACTGTGCACCTCATGGGCAGGAAACACAGCACTCCTCCACAGGGCACTGTCAGCAAGAAGCTCCTTTCTTTGGAGTCACAGCAGGGCAATGGTGGGAGAAGACTGAGCCCGTCCAATGAGAGAAACGCTCCTTCAGAGCCCTGCCGAGCCAAAGCCCAGAGGTCAGAAGATGGAGATGTGTAACCTGGTAGGGGTGAAGAGAAGCAAAAAAAATCACCCGTCAAGGCATTAAAAAGTGACAGCTAGGGAAGGAAACTGGCGTGCGCTGATAAAGGCCCAATGGAGCTGTAACAAAGGGACGTCTTCGTTTCTGCTGCAGTGCTGTGGAAGATGGCGGCTGCAGGGTCATCTCGCCAGCAGAGCGGATGCTTCATCAGAAATAGGAATGACAGGAAACTGAAGATGCAGAGCCTCACAAAGGATGGTTCCGTGGGAAGGCCATACATGTGCCTGTGCTGCTCCCTCACATGATTTCCTGGGGTGAAGGCATGTCACTCACTGACAATTCTTTCACAAGCAAAGGGATCTCTTGTCCTTCTCTGCCCCCACTCAGTTCACATTTCCACGATGGCTTCTCATTCCGCACAAGCAAAAACTTACAGAACATCTTGGAGTTTTAAGACCTGCAGACACCAAAAAGATAACTACTGGTCAGAAGGAGTTAGGGCTATGGGTTAAATGCTTTGTTTTATTTTCAAAAGGGTGAAGGCAAGAGTAGGCTGTATGTAAATTAAAGAGCTCATAGAGCTACACAAAGACAACTGCACTGGGATGCTTCAGATCACGTCGGTGGGAAAGGTAGCTTAGCTCCAGGTCTGGAACGGTGCGGCAGCGGGACACAGAAGCACTCATCAGGGACAATCTGGTGAGGGGAAATTAGTACCCCACTTGAATGTGACGAAAGCGTGATCATTCATAAATCTAAGGATATCTGCCTGTGCAGGAAGGTGTTGTACATGCCTGACCAATAAACTTTCCCAAAGTGGTAAAAATGTAATCATATAAGAGATTTTTTTCAATTCTCAAACAGCCAAATATTTATCATTTAGTTCAACTGGAAATGGGCAGCATATGGATTTTAATACTTCCTAACCAGTGTTCACCTCTCAACTTAAAATGACCCCAGTGGCTTCTTCTTGTGTCTAGGTACCAATAAGACTCAAGAATGATGACATTATATATATCTATCTATAAAATGAATTTTAAAATGGGCTGGACAAAATTCTGTAACATTGTAATTAACAGATTGTAATTTCTTTCTATTTATCTTAATGCTTGCTCCCAGATTTTTCAAGTTTTGCCCTATCTCAGCCCCTGCCTCCTTATGGGAGGGTTTCAGAAGCACCTAGAATGACAGCTTAGACATCTGCCTTCCAGCCTTGGCTTTTACACCCATCTACTCAGGTATTTTCACACAGGACATCTCAGCTCTTGGGGATTCAGTTTCTTCATATATAGCATGTTGGCTTTCTAAAGGTCCCTTCCAGCTCTGACATGCTCCTCTAAAACATGTAGACCATTAACTTCCGTTCACTCACTGGCTCCTGACAGTGGGATGAAACCTTTGCCAAGCTCATGTCGGAGTAATTAATTGTACCATGAGTGCTGGGGACATCAGGCATAGCTGTCTGTACATATTTGTATAATGAGGCCAAGCTAGTATTAATCACAGTCTTTGTAATTGTTTCACTTGACAGTATGGGAGGAGTGTGGGGAACTATGTATTCTTAGCTATGTTTGTACGCTAGACTGGAAGAATCTGTAGTGACAGAACAGTTTACATTTTTAGGTAATTTTTTCCGAGGGCAAACTATTTGTAGGTTAAAATCAAGGAGAATGGTAATATCCTGCATTTTTCAATGCTCTTCAGAGAAGCTACTTCAGTGTACACTGTTAAGATGGACACAGCTTTAAGAAGTCTTCCTGGCAAAGGCTCACAATGGAAACCACTTTTGGCTCCACACTTGTGTTCACTGCCCTACACCTAGGTGAGGGGATTCCATGCTATCAATTACTGTTTTTTCTCACAATCTTCCATGCTGGGTCTCCCAGCTCTTTCTTTTGAAGGCTACAAGAGTGCTAATTGAAAATACTGTGAAAACAAGATGCATATCCTGAAAATCCCAGGCCTGGATTTACAAGCTGTTCCCTTCCTAAGCAGCAGCAGCAGCAATGCCACTTCTTTATTCTGCAGGGAGTCCAGCCTTCTCCTAGAAGTACTATTGTTCCATCTGGCTACTCACTAGAAGGATGGTAATCCTGCCCTCATCTGACCATTGCTAAAGCTGAAGAACGAATTGTCTTGTGCAGTTCCCATCCAAGGGCACGACCAAGAAGGGTAAAAAGACTCTGCCTTTGTCTCTCCTACCACATGTTGCCTCACTAGGTAAAGAATCAGGGGTTTTTATTCATTCTTACACATTGTTCAAAGTCCAAACCAAGCTAGAATATAAATTATATATATGAGGGTCCTATACCTGCAGGACAAATAAAGATCCAAACCCATGGTGCTCTGAAGGAGCGGCCTGCTGCTGACCTGTTTTAATATACAGCTACCTCACTGTGTGGTCCAACTCTAAGATATCCACACAGTTAAGACGTCTGCAAGTCTTAACAGTTAACAATTTAGTTAATGGACTGTACGGCTGCCACTGTGGGGATGGCATTCTAAAAGGGAACCCAACCTTTAGAAACTTGAATGGATGAATACCAGTTCCATTAAAGAAATGTTATTTGATGACTGGCCACTAGTGCCAAAAAATTTGCATATGCAGATGTTTTCTCCTTTAAAAGCATGTTAACACATACTACTCAGTTATTGAACATATTTTTTGAAAGCTTATTTTCTTTCTTCCCTTTTTTTGCTTATTCAGAATATTTTAAATCTCAAAAAACCAAGCCATGAACTGTTCCACTGAACAGTTAGTTCACATCAACATTTAACGTAGAGTCACTCTGTTATCAAGTGGTGAATCAGAATGCTGCTTACTTATGTAGGCTAGCAAACATACAGTTGTCTCACTGACTACTTATATATCATTAATATTCACTAGGGAAAAGACAGGTAAATGATTAAGTGGTATTTATTTTGTTCTGAGAGCTGTTTGGGTGTGATTTCTTCTCAGAAAGAAATCTAATACCTGAAAATAAGTGACAAAGCTAGAACTGAGGTTTTTTGAACTGAGGTCCAAAAAATTAGTGAAACTAATACCTGAAAATAAGTGACAAAGCTAGAACTGAGGTCCAAGCACAAAAATGTTTTATTAAACATTCTGATACATACATGAGAACAAATGGTCTGATTCTGTTTCTCTATAATTATTTGAAAGATTTTTAGCAACCATGCAACAGGAATCTAACCAAGTCCCCACCTCCACCTCACTCATTCAGTGCAAACCCAGGGTTTTACTGGTACAGGTGTTCTGAGGACATCTGACTTCTGAGATGGGTTGGCATGTAAGCAGCCTACCAGGAGCACTTACCAGTCCCTAACGATCAAGCCTGTTCACAACTTCTCGAACTGTAGCTATGAAGTTTTCATTGTCTTGGGGATTAGCTAGAATAATACTGTGCAGTCTGTTCATATACGAGTCGATGGTGTCCACTGTTGGTGTCTCTCCACTTCCTGAAGTTAGATAAGAACAGAGAGTAAGAAAATCTTTCCCGTTCAGTTCAATTATAAAACACTGAAGGGAATCCATAGTGAAAGAAAGTGCGACTCTGATGTGATTTGCTCCAGACAGACGTCAATATTATAGGAGAGGCTGTTGACCTAGAGAAATGAAGTTATCCACACACTCTAAACAAACAGGTGACTACAGAACAGCCCTGCGTTGCTGTATGTAACAAAGGGTCAGAAACTCTGCTGTGACAGTCCTCGAAATCAAAAACAGGATAAGCAACACTAGTGTTTGTTTTCTCTTTCTTCTCATTAAAGTGCAAAGAAATACAAGGCAAACAGTCATACATAAGATAAAGTGCCTTTTTAAGGATTTTTAAACTCAGTTTCCATTGTTCTGAATATCAAATTTTAAGTTTACTAGAAAGGGAAATAGGTTATATTAAAACAGAGCTGTTAGAAAATGTAAATGACCGTTGCGCCTGAAATTATGATCTTAGCTAGTGCCAACAGCATCACGCGACCCATCAAGACCGCCCCCCCCAACTTCATGGTTTTCCTCTCGCGCGATTCCCACCAGCCCCGCCCCGCCGCGCCCGCCTACCGGGCAGGGGCATGCCGGCAAAGCTGCTGGTCAACACCTGCCGCAGCGTCTCCAGGTGCTGCTGGAGCACCGTGTTGCGGCTCCGCTCCTGGATCACGTCCACCTCCAGCTTCTCCACCGCCGTGCGCATGCTCTCCACGTGCTTTTGCAGGGCTGCGTTCCTCTCCTCAAACTCCATGTTGGACTTCCGAAGCTGGCGGAGTTCGGCCTCGCGAGCTGAGGACGCAGGCGTGAGTTGTCTCTGGAGTCCCCACGACTCTTCTAAGTTCTGCTTAGCTGTCTCTCATTACCACCCCACCTCACCTCCCGATTCTCATTAGGACTCTCCAGATAGCAATTTCAGCAATGAAACGCCTGGCTCCCCAGGGCTGTTTTAATTCTTAAAACTGCACGTAACACTGTTCTGTGCATAACACTGCAACGAACACTGGCAATTTCCAGCATATTTTTTTTGTTTGTTAGATTCTGCTTTTTAAAATTGTGCAATGGGAGGCCTGCGGTGCTTTACTGGGGGATCCTGGGAGATTGGCCAAGCACAGCTATGGGTACCCATCTGTGCCACTGTGGGATTAGATTTGCAATTACCTACTTTATATTTTGGATTCCCATGTAAGCTTTTATTTGTACAGAGGGTTCTAGACTACTGTCTAAAAGTAACTGCATTAGTGATTTACTTTTTTTTTTAAATACAGAAACCAAAGCAGCTTTGATGACCCTGGCCTAGCTTTCTCTCACCGGTCTTTGAGTGGCTGCCTTCTTTACTAGAGTGAAACAGAAGCAGTTATTCTTCCAGTCTAGTCCTAAGGAGGGCTATCACTGCCATTGCTCTGAGCAACGAACTCCTGAGAACTAAATCCCCGTGAAAGACCCCCGAGGAACACAAAAAATACTGCAGTAGTCACCTTTGCTGTGGTTCAGGAATTCCTCCGTAAATATAGGAATGTCAAACACGGAGCGTTCCTTTACCTCGGTTTCTTTCTGTGAGTCAAGAACAAAAGTGAATTCTTAAACAGAAGCTAGATTAAATAACAGTGCCGGGGGCACAATGATCAAGTCTTCCCCAGAGAAACAGCACGATGAGCAGGAGTCAGAACAGGAGAGCCTGGGAGGGATGCACTTAACTTTTCTTTGGAATCGAATTTTCCTAGAGCCCAAGCAGGTTAAGTATTCAGTTCTCTCAGGTGAACAACTGCTGTGTGATGAGAAACCTTAAAACAAGCTTACATACGCTGCTCTAATGAGGAAACTGGAAGCCATTTCTTAGATCTGTGCTTTGAACAACTTACATGTACACAGTTGTGACTGGTTGGGGCAGGAATTGAGAAAGGGTGTTTTTCAGCCATTTCTGTTGGTTATGCATGTAAAATGTTCTCTGATGTGGGACTATGTAATCTAAATTTACAGAGCAGACAGAATTTTAAGCAGAGAGCTGCCAGCCATTTTATTTATGAAGGGACAGTCTATCTTTGAGGCTCTTGTAGACTTACTCTTAAGATACAGGAAAAACAAGCCCAAGAAGTCAGAAATAACCAGGCTCTACAAATGATAGAAGGTAAGGATTACATGAGTGAAAAAAGAACAACAGAGCCTAAAATTAATTCACCAATAAACCACTGAGATAAGTCTCACAAAACCACTGAAAAGTACATTCAACAATGATCCTTAAGAACAAAGTCACTATTTCAAGATGCTTTGGCTTCCATTTCTACAATGAATTTGAGATTGAAAGTATAATGAATATAAATTATAGGTGTCTTGGCACAGTATTCAAAATCTTGCATAACATAAGATGGTAAAGAGAACAGCAGGAAGTAAGTGTGGAAGAAATTACTAGTGAGACCTGAAGATTCCAAACCTTTATAACATGAAAATCAGTAAAGAAAATACCTAAAAATCACTCCTACAAAAACATGTTGAAAACTAGCGATAGAACATATTTTTTTCTACTTGTTACCAGTAGTTTTTATCTTTAATCACAAAAATGATTTGGTGCCCGGTGGAAAAGCTGAGCAAGTGCATCCGCTGCAAGGGAATCCTGACAGCCATGCTCCTGTTTCACACGGGCGTCTGCTTAGGAAGGGGCTGAGCTGCATGAGCTGCCTGCCAATGGCAGCTGATAAAAACAGTCATTTAACTGGGAATCTGGTGGTGCACACCTGTAACCCCCCTCACTCAGGAGGCTGAGGCAGGAGAGGTGTGAGTGCAAGGTCGCCTGGGCTGTCAAGTGGAGACCCTGTCTCAAAAAAAAAAAGACAGAAATCTGAAAACTAAGTATTTACACCTAGGGAACATTTCATTTCAGAGCACTTAATTTTTACCCTTTTTCCTTTCTCAAAAAGAAAGTTTCCCAGAAAAATTTAAAACTAATTAATAAAATTATCAGTGATAGCCCAAGTTTCAACATGGAAGCTCTATTTCAATGAGAACTAACGTGTGGATGAGATAAGCTGGGAGGGTAGAAGGGACTGTGGTCACATTTCCCACAGCTGTCTCCACTCTGCTGGCTTATCCTATGTTTTAACTTTGTTACCCAGTGGCCTCAGGAAAACAGAAAATTTAACAATCCCAACACGCACAAAAGGTACAATCCAAAGGCTACAAGTGACTGAGGACTTCAGTCACCCTACCGTTTCATGTCCTACCTAACTGCACAAGCAGGTATGACATCAGTCCCACATCTGCTAGTCAGAGGGAAAGGGGTGTGCTTGGCTCCCGTTGCCATGGCACCGAACCCTCCGAGGTTTCGAGTATCCTGGACTAGTAATTCCCTTCTCTTCTTTGCCACAGCAGTCCAGACCCTGCTCATTACACAAGACCAAAGGCTAGCACCACGGAGGTGCGCTAAACACACTGCCCCTCGGTACAGATTCGTAGAGTGCAAAATAAGAGACATTAAAGCAATTAAACGAAACTGTTCAGTCTCTGAACACAACAGAGAAATTCTACTTAACGGAAGAGTGCTAATAAAAACCATCAGCGCTCTTCCATTACCGAGGACGTTACTTGGTGTGGAGAGCATCCTCCCAGGGCTCGGATGTACTTAAGCTGCTCCAAGTATCGCTCGAGGGATTAAAATCATAAGGTTTTGATTACCTCCTCATTGAAAGGGGCTAATTTGTTCAGGCTGAGTGTCATTTTGTTATTTCTCATAAATTAAAGGAGAGACAAAATTGTTTCTACCTTGGTCCTCACATGAGATGTAGACGCTTTCTTAGGAGTAACAGTAGCTGACTTCTGGGCCTGGCAGGCTGGCTTTTGATCTGAGGACAATACTCTTTGGTTTGTCATTCTATATACTGAGTGGAGGGTGAGAAAACAGGGGCCCTTGTGATCGAAACATATGTTGCTGTGATCTAGGATTAGGACCCGAATTTCAGAGCATGGTGTGCTTCTTTCAAGTGCCCTTTACTTTGGGGACCACTCTACTATTGTATGCCAGGCTGTGGTGACCACTGCTGTGCAGAGGGCTTTCAGATGCACTCTGTACCTGCCCAGATAACAATGACTTAAGGATCCAAGTCCCTTCAGAATACAGTTGGTTTTTTCATTATACACAAGTGGAGTAACTTGTGTCTTTAACTGCTGACATCTCAGGCACTTGCACTGTCAGCACTGTTTAGTTTATTCTGTATGGCATGGCACTATGCTGTCAAGAGTGCTTGTTGGGGATGCATAAAGAAGGTGTGGGTTTTAGTCACACTTCTGCCTCTAACTTAATCTGCTAAGTGACTCTGGGTAAACTCTCCTCGCTTAGGCAAGTCACCTCCCTCAATGGCATAAGAAGCTGGCCTCTGTGTGTTGTAAGATGAACCCCAAGACTGTGCTGTCACATTTCTCACAGTAGTCCTCATAAGATAAGGTGATAAATGTGTACTTAGAGTCTATGATACTTCGGGTACTTTGCAAGATGTTTGCTTTTGTTATTAACTTACTCATATCTTTGCTCAAACGTCCCCAACAACACCTGGGTCAGGCCATGGGGCCTTGCTTTCTTATTTTTCTGAATTCTTACTATGTTAAGTTGTGTGTAATAAAACCCCTGTGTACCAGTGTTTAAAAACAATTCAAAAACTTTTAAACCAGTTCAGTTTTCTTATATTGCAGTTGTTCTGAAATTACCTACTTTAGGAAATACATTACTCAATAAAAAATACAAATTGATAAAGGGGCACTGGGTCAACAATCTGACTTTGAAAGCCTTATCCTGATGTGGGCATACCAACAAGTAGATTTATAGAACCTACTCTGTACACATTTTAGGAGCTACAGCTGCCTTTTCATGTACCCACATTTTCTGTTTTTGTCTGGCTTAATAAATGTGTAATCCTGAAATAAGAAACGCACATGGAGACGCATTCCTTTTCACAGATCATGAAAATTACAGAAAATCACGTTAATGTATTTTAATAAAAAGCCTTATTTCTCAAATCACCATCAGCAGCAATAATTTCTATAACCAATTAAATTTATCGTATCTTTTCTGACTGCAACTAGCAACATTACCAAACACAAAACACCACATGTGGTCTGGCCAGGAGAATCCATACTGATGAAGTGAGTCGGTGAAGACTAGAAAATATGAGATTCAATGATTCAGATAACTGTCCAGATTCTGCTTTGTAATCGTTAGGGATATGGGTGCAACCAAGTAGGGAAAAAGTACAGATATTTCTTGTCATTAGTGGAGGGTACACAAGGAAGAGAAGTATGTACTAATTGTATAAGTGTCTGGTAATATGGAAAGCTTGCAACATCACCTGACTATCATTTAAAATACAAAGTATAGATACAAAGTTTCTATCATCCTAATTACAGCATAGAAATATCAACTATAACTACATTTAAATAGCATTTATATGAGGAAAAAGTGTTAATATTTACTTTGCTTCTCATTTTATAATTCATGGATGGTAATACATCTAATCTATCTGACATGTGAACCTCAGTTTTTTCTCTATGTCTTGAAGGTTACCAATATCAAATTAGATATAAGAACTATTACCTCAAGATAAGTTATTTATTTGAAGAAACGATTTCCTTGGCTTAGTAAAAACCCAAATACCTATAAAAGAGTACATAGAAATTTCTTCTTGTCAAATTCCCATTGCTACTTCAGGTCAACTTTGGGTGTTATGGGATATCTCCTCCACACAAGGGCATCAGGCTAGGAGGATAGGGGTACGATGATGGAAACTAGACTGGTGTGCCCTCAAGAGAGCCTACATAATCCAGGAATGTGAATAACAAGTACTTGAATAACTTCACCAGGCTGGATCTGCTAAGTGTATAGAGGACAGGGAGCCTCGAAGGTTAAAGGTAGCTGGAGAAGAAAAACCTGAATGCGGAAATGGATCAGAAATAGGGCTTGAAAGGTGACTAGAATTTTGAGAGGGAGAAACGGGAGGCTAGGGAGGTGAAGAAATGTATGAGGGAGGGAAAATGCATGAAAGGAACAACGGGAGCACAGGCATGAGGAGAAAGGGCGGGGCACCTGCAGGACAGTGAGCACTGTAGGTTTTCAAGGTATTTGGAATGAGAAGTTGGACTTAATTATGGGAGATCCTAATGGCTGAATGAAAACGTGATTTGGTAAGCAACAAGGAACCGCTGATATTTTAAAGTGTGGACTTACCTTAGATTTTATTTTCTGATAACCATATAATAACCAAAACCTACACATGTATTTGAAGCATATATATATATATACAGCACAGCCAACACACAGAGGCCTAAATCCTATAAACACACAGGAACACAGGTCTGAATCCTATCGATAGGGTTGAACCAAATAAGAGGGAAGAGGCCAATACATAAGCATGTGCCAGTGAGACACGGGACTAGGAAAGGAAGTACAGAAACTGAGCTAGATCTCTTGACACTGGAGTTGAGTAATTCATTTTAACCAAATGTTGGGATTTCCTTAAAAACCTTTTTGAGAGAGAGTACAGAATTTGGTGATGATAAAACAAGTTGTAGCCTTTTTTCAGTTGGCTCTCATTTCTACATCTCACTCAGAATTCCAACCATTGTTGGCATTTCAAGTCAATAAAATTCTTAGACCACAGGAACAGATCAGGGTTAGGGAGCTGGAGTTCAAAGACAGACTCGTGATTTAAGCGTCCACCACAGGTTAAGAACTCCTGAGCCAAAGCAACTCACCCAGTTTGAATTACGGGACAGGATACACTCTGTCATTCATAAAAAAAAAATGCAGCAGCATTTCAAATGCAAAGTTATAAATACATATGATATCTAGACAGAAGGCTAATTACCTCATGATCATGAGCGGCCTGTCGGGCTGCATCTAAAAGTATGAGAAAATAAAGAAAACAGTAAGTTGAAAAGAAAACAATAACAAAATCCATGTATATAACTATGCCAAACTACAAAACCTGTTGGTTTATGTAGCCCTCACAACATACGATACTCTCCCTCATGGTGTTATTAGTCAGTCAGTCAGCAAAAGTTAAAGGGAACCTCACACCTACTGCCTACACAATTAGGCCCAAGAGAACAGCAGACACTGTTCTTACCTTTGAGAGAAGAGGGTGGGAAGGTAGGCAGGAAACACATACCAAAGGCTGTTTGCACAACATCATGGTCTTAGCAGGCTAATGCCCAAACATGGAGAAGATGTCAGGCCAAGGCATGACAGTGTGGGTGCTGCTCCTTTGGCAGTGTTTCTTGCAGTAAAGAAACTTGGAGCAAGACTTGGGAGGTGTAATGAACCACTTTAACTGAGAATAAAAAAGCCCATGAAGACAAAGGTATTGTCTATCTGTTCATTCTTAAGGTCTAGAGGAGAGCCTGATATTTAATAGAACGTACTCAATGAATCTTTTTGAATGCATGCATGAACAAATGCACAAATGAATGAATAAAATGGATCACTGGAGGCGAGAAGAAATGGCACATGAAAGGTCAGAAATGTTAGAGCAAGGCAGTCACTTAGTTTAGCTGATGGGCTTCTTGAGATGGCCAAACTGAGAATTAGGAAAAGAGCAGGCAACTAAGAATGATTTTGGTACACAAGTTGAATTGTTGATTCTGGATAGGGAAACCTAACCTAATCACGATTTGTGATTTTTTATAAAATTCTAAGACAATGCTTGCAAGTGAGTATAGGATAATAGAGATTTTGTTTTTTGGTGGTACTGAGGGTTGAATTCAGTGCCTTCTGCTTCTCTACCACTTGAGCAATTCCGCCAGCCATTTTGCATTGATTATTCTTGATAGTGTCTTGCTTTCTGCCTGGGCCAGCCTGGGCTGTGATCCTCCTATTTGTGCTTCCCCATGTAGCTGGGATGACAGCTGCATGCACCATACCCAGCTATCAGTAGAGATGGGGGTCTGGTGAACTTTTTGTCCTGACTGGCCTAGAACCATGATCCACCCGTTCTCTGCCTCCTGAGTAGCCAGGATTACAGGCTTGAGCCACCGTGCCTGCCAGAAACATGTCTTTTATATCTGTCACTTTCACGACTGGCATTATGACAGCCTGTCATGCATGACAAAGCACACTTGACTTTGGGTCTGATACCTTGCCTATGAGATTTGCCTTTCTGACGGTCCTGTGTTTTCCTACTGAACACCTTGTATGCCTCAGTCTTCTGATACTGCTCCAGTTCCTTCATGTAACGCTCCTTGTCTCTGTCGGCTTCATCAAGGTAGCGCTAGGAAAGAAATGTGGAATTATTTCCAAGAAGCTGAGACAGACAGAATATCAATTATCTATTTGAAAAAAACCCAGGATGATTAGAACATGAAAAAGTACACAGAGAATACATGTCAGGGAAGAATCAGCAAAACAGTCCTAAGAATAGAATCTCTCAGTTATAAAAAGAAATTAGTGATTTTCTAGATTATTTATTGCCTTTCTCAGCTTAGTGAAGACAAGTTCTATTGAGATCACTCATAAAAAATTCAAGAAGAGGATTACAAATATTCCTCTAACTTTATAGATAGAACTCCACATGGCCACTAGTGTCCTCAGGAGGCCTGCACACCACACAGGCACACTTAGTCTTCCCAGGGGAAGGAAAGGAATATTGCTTTGTTTCTCTACCCCAATCCATTTTGAGGGAATGATCTCATACATCAATTGGCCTTTTAGGAGCCAGAAGAGTGGAGCACTACAGCTGGGGAGACACAGAGAACACAGAAAGAATGACCTCATGGGCTTGCAAGTAGACTGTTTGAGAGACTGTGTATCTACTTTCTTTCACTGTTTTGTGCTATTAATTATTTAGACAAAGTCCACTGATCTACCAGGACTATTTTGTTTAATGCCTTGTCCATTTCAGTCACCAAATTAGGTATGAGAAAGTATAAAAATATTCCTTCTACATGAACACAAGCCAGTTAGAAATTATGTTAAAAACCTTGTCCCCACAAAAGAGCCAGATGCAGAGGACACCCAATTAGCCAGATCTGGGACAACTTAAGCACCAAAAAAATTAAGTATAGTAATGGGAAAAAAGAAATTTATATCATTAATAATAGATGTAATACCAATTATTTATTATCATACCAATAACAAACAGGTAATAAACAAAGATACAGAAGTGGGCAGGAAGAGGGCTCCTATTTACAAGAGAAAGCAGAGGGCCACATGGTAAACGTGTAGAGGGTGTGGAGTTGGAAAATTATCATTTTGTGACCACAATGATAAAGACCAGGTGAAAATCACCAATGGATATTAAACTTACGAGAAATTTGAGTTTTGGTGGGATTAGGGTTTGAACATAGTGCTTTGTGCTTGTGAAGCAGGTACTCTACTGCTTGGGCCTCACCTTCAGTCCATTTTGGTCCAGTTATTTGGAGGTCTTGAGAACTATATGCCTGGGCTGGCTTCAAACCAGGATCCTCCCGATCTCAGTCTCCCAAGTAGGTAAGATTATAGGTGTGAGCCACTGCTGCCCAGCTTCTAGGGGGGATTTTTTTTTTTTTTAATGTGAAACAGGCTATGTGCATGTCCTTAAAGTGTCTCCCCATAGATTGCTTATTAATTGTAAGGGAAGATTAAAAAAATCAGCAGGTAAACAAAACACATTATTAATGAGGAATAAAAGGACATATGTCATATGTGATACTCTTGGAAGGGTACCATCTATGCAGCATTCTGACCAAGAAAGAATAACCCCAATGTAACCACAGGAAATGACAGACAAACACAAAATCAGGAATGTTCTGTTAGAAGTTAAAAAATGGGTAGGAGTTGGGGAGTGGAATTATATTCTTAAAAACTATCCAAGTTACAGAAGACAAAGCAATGCTATGGAAATACTTCAGCCCAAAGGGAGTTAGAGAGATCAGACTAAAGACAAACATCTGATCTTATACTGGAATCTGTGCTGCAGGAAAATTGTTACAAAGGAATAAATGAGGATGCTTCAATACCTGGGTGGTAGCTTACAGTACTGTTATATAAAGCTCTGAACTTGATACTATATATAGTTATATAAGAGAATATGTATCTTCTTAGGGCAGACATATTAACTATTCAGGGGTGAAGGGTCGGGATGTATGTAACTTATCCTCACATAACTGTGGATTTGAGTGGTGTTATGTGTTGAGATTGCATGTGTGCAGTGAGTGCATATGCAAATGGAGAAATGGGGCATGATGTGTTCACAACAGGTGAAACTATACAAAGGGTGTTTGGATGTTCTTTGTAATATTTTTATGTTTATAAATTTTTGTGCATCTGAAATTATTTTCAAATTAAAAACCTGATAAAACAAAACCAAACAATGCAAACCCTTATACACAACCAACAGTGGTTATCACTAGGGATAACTACTGTTACTTTTGCTTTTTTGTTTATATACTTCTGTTAATGTGAGCATGCATTAATTTTGAAATAAAGAAGAAAAAAAGGAAGTGGAATCTTTGTATGTTTGATCCATCATCCCACTATTTTGTAAAGCCAAAACAACGATGATATAAACTTTCTATTGGCTTGCTACCACAAACACAGAACTTCAAATTGCAACTGAATCTGCTCTCTTTGAAAATGTTTGAACTCAATTAATTCCCAAGAGAATATTTTCCAATTTGGTGTTAAGTCTGTCTGGAATCCATTTTAAAGAGTGTAAGTCATAAAAGAGTGTAAGACATAAAAGAAATATAGACCTTTCAGATGCTGGGAAGGAGGGGACCTTTACCCAAAGTCAATCCCACAATCACTACCATTACTCTGCTGCAGTGGTATTTCACCCAGCTCACAGCTATCTTGTCCTTAATTCCCCTTCAATCTCTCTTAACAAATGGATTTGTTTCAATTTTGGCACTAGGGTTAGTTTCTATCTTAGAGGAGACAGAATGCAAGTAGTTCTTGTTTTATTTTTCATGGTAAGTTAAATTTGCCACATCTCTAGCCAAAAAAATTTTATTAAAGCAGTAAAATCTTTTTCTTCAACGAAATTCTTATGTAAACTACAAAATTTCAATAAATGATTTTTTTCCTCATTTTTATTCATGATTTCTCATTTAATTCAGTGGAATAAATTACCTTGATAGATTTCTTAGTTTCTTGGTATCGAACCACTTTTCAAAATAATCTTCTGTGAACTCTCAATATACAAATCAAATAAAAGTGGAGCTGCTTTGATTGGTGGTGGGGGGGTGTCCTACAGTCCCTCCCACTCATACCCTGCAGCATGTGGACAGGTCACAACTCACTCGGCTAGAGAAAAGAATGAGAGGGACCATGCTATTCTAGTCTCCTAGACACTGTGACAAAACCGAAGTCAACTGTCCCTCCTCTTTGCTTTTCTGACAGAAATTATTTTTGAGACATCATCAAAACAAGCAAAGGAGCAGGAGTAAGAAGCACCTGTTTCTCCTCAGGAGGCAATTTACTCCACTCATTGCCTAACATCCTTGTGATCTCTGGAAATGGGACCTCAGGTCTTTTTGCTCGAAGCTGTTCTCGACGTTCGTTCATGAACCGCACATATCCTGTAAGGGGGGACTTGGGTGCATTGCTGTCTCGAAGGGGTTTCTTCCTCTTTCTCCCTTTGGACCAACCTCCTCGTTTACTTCTTTGCTAAAAAACACAGGAAAATTAAAAAACAAAAACCAAACAACAATTCCCCAAATAACCCAATGACAAGAAACACTAACATCAAAACAAGTCAAGAGCTGCATTTGTGTGTGTGTGTGTGTGTGTGTGTGTGTGTGTGTGTGTGTGTGTGTGTGTGTGTGTGTGTGAGAGAGAGAGAGAGAGAGAGAGAGAGAGAGAGAGAGAGAATGAGAATGAATGAGGTTCTGGAGATTCAAAGTGCTCCAGATCTGTCCTAGGTACAAATGACTGGAATGTTGAGTAAGATGGGATTCCAGATGGTTCACCTGTAGACCCTTGTAGGCATCACACTGCAAACTGTGACAACAAAGGGCTATTTTGGTGCTTATCCCACAAGATGGGAATAAAGCGGTGCCATGATCACGCACACTCTGGCCGTCATATGCACTTAACAGGTCCTGATTCCTGACGGAAAATTCAACATGAGAAATGCGGCAGCACGTTGCTCTGTGCCAGAGAAGCAGATGCTGTCACAGGAGATCAGAGTAAGATGTTGGCACATGCACTGGGCAAAAGAGACAAGCTGTAGTACAGGGATTAAAGATAATTCATGAAGGTTTCTTATTGGTACCACTCAAAGACCAGCTTATTTTCCATAGCAAATATCATACAGAGTTTTACATTAATATTTAGGCCTCAGAAAAATTTCAGTGAACATATTCAAAATGAAGATTAGTTCTTTGGCTTGATGATTTGTTCCCTAAGATGTATATTTGATAAAGTCAGAAGTCTTTATATATTGAATTATTAGTTAAATCTTAAATCAAAGATTAAATCAACTCTAAAAATGGTAAAAAAAAAAAAAAAAAAAAAAGACACCAGTGCCACTGATGTTTAACCACGACCTTTTTTTCTTGGCCTTTTAAATGAGTCCTAAGATACATCATATTTTTGTTTCATAATTGAACAAACACATAAGCCTATCAATTATGATGTTTTATGGATCAAGAATTCTTATTTCAGAGAAGACAAAGATAAGCAAAAAGGGATTAAAGACATCTAAGTATTAACTGTAATACTGTACTCCTCCAAATATATATTTACTGGTGTGATGATATGCCATTTGGCAAATGGTGTATTTTAGGAATTTTTTTTATTGGCTGTACTGAAGCTTCATGCTTGCTAGGTAGGTGCTCCACCGCTGAGCCACCCCGCCAGTAAACAGTGTACTTTATGTTAGGTTTTCCTTCTTGTAACATAAGCCCGGCAACATTAAAGTCACCGAGGGGATGGGGTGCTGCTCAGTGGTAAAGTGTGTGCTCCGCATGCTGGAGGCCCTGTTCTCAGTCCCCAGCACCCCACATAAAACACAAACAAACCAACAAATAAATACAGCTACTAGGATTTTAAGAAGTTCTAAATATTCATTATAATCCTTAAGAATGCCAACAGGACAGATGAAAAAGATTAGCTCTTTGACAAAAGTCAATGGTGATGATCTTCTGGCCAAAAAAATAAAAAAGTGTTTTTGCCAGATGTGGTGGCACACACCTGCAATCCCAGCACTCAAGAGGCTAAAGCAGGAGAATCACAAGTTCAAGGCCAGCCTGGGCTGTATATAGAGACCTGTCTTAAAGTTTTTAAATTTCATATTAAATATCTTATAGAAATATGAATTAAAAGGTATTTTAAGTTTCTAGCTACAGCACAAAGATGGAAGCATAACAGTATTATATGACAAAATTAAAATTAACTGTTTGAGCCCATACTGAACCTTTGTGTGATTCAGAAAAAGGTGGCACCTGCGGGAGGGTGGGAGGGTGAGGGAGTGGTGAGTGGTATCGATCTTCTGGGCACCTGTGGCTCCATGCTACAGGACATCGAGAGCAGTATGTGGCCCTAAACAATTACTAACTGCTTAATTAAAACATTCACTCATGAACAAGCATTTGCTGAGCATTTACTAGGGGGTAGGTATAATTTCTTAGGCCAGGGGATAAAGAGTCTACTTCTATGTCAATAAAGCCATTAATATGGTTCTATGTAAAACAAGAAATATGACACAGAAGACTGGGCACGAGTAAAGAAGCCAGATGACGAGCACCTCCATCAACATCTCCTTTGATGACGTTGTCTCTGGAAGCTTCAGGACAGTGCCAGGAGACTTTCAGCTTACCTCATCTTCCTGCCTCTGCTCACTGCCTTCTGCAGCATTTGAGGACTCGTTTGGAAGCAACTGGCCCTGGGAGAGATCCTCCACAAATTCTGCATTGGTGGTGGACGATGCTGCTCCACTGCCATATGGGACTTCTGGGTGGGTTAATCTGAGTAATAGGCGGAAGCGCAGAAGTTCATATGAAAGGCACCAAAAGCTTCTTATTTACCAAGGTGCAAGACAAAATGTCAGTTTCACTGACAGGAACTAGTTCGCCAATTATGCTCTCCATAAATATAAACAATGTTTCCATAGAAGTTACAGAGTAGACAAATACAATCTTTTTGAGAAAAAAAAAAGGAAAATGACTTCTTCCAACATAAACTTTGTGTTTTAGTTCTGAGCATACAACAGCTGACTGATGCTGCTACCTTTCATGGGGAAGCACCATTAACAGACAAGATGGACGGCAATGGGAATTGTAGAGGCAGTCTACCCCATCACCAGAGAGAAAGTTCTTAAAGGGCATAAGAAATAACTCTCATGGCACATAATATAGGCTGTTACTAAGAAAAATATTATCAAGTTTGGAAAGTAACTTTTCCTTTTTTTTGTTGGTGGGATCAGTTTGAATTTAGGGCTTCACGCTTGCAAAGCAGGTTCTCTACCATTTCAGTCACACCCTTAGGTCTGCTCTGGTTATTTTAAAGATGGGGACCTGAGAACTATTTGCTCAGGCTGGCCTGGAACCACAATCCTCCCGACCTAAGCCTCCCAAGTAGCTAGGATTATAGGCGTGAGCCACTGGTGTCCAGCTAGTAAGTATAATTTTCTTTTTGTGATTCTAGGGATCAAACTCAGAGCCTCACACATGCTAGGCAAGTGCTCTACCCTGTACTGCAACCACAGCCCCAGTATAAAAGTTAACAAATCTGGTAGATACATGTTTCTGCTCCCACTATTTCAGATGAGTTATCAAACTAGATCCCATCCTTCTAGTAAGTGGACAAAGATGATGGGAGAATCTTAGACTGATTTCCTCTACCACACGTGGATAAAGGAATGCAAGAGATGCACTAGAGAGTTATTTTTTTGAGAAGGATGAGGAGAAAGGCAAGAGGAGCTGGAAGATAGACAACAGAGATAATATTCAGTTATTATTATGAAAGTGCCACTCCACAGTATTATAGGCAATTAAAATGTAAGTACTGAAATAGAGGCGTGCAAAAAGGGTTGTGGTAGCATGGTGGAGGGTGTGATGCAGTGTATGTGTATGGAAAGAATGTAAAGAAAGATTCTACAAGGAGGTCCTAAAAGATGAAGACATCATTGCAGGCAGAAAGAAGAGGGTCTAACAGAAAAAAGGGAGGCCTAACAGGAGGGTAGGCAATAGCCTCAGTACGAGAGAAAACAGGCAGGGCAGAGTGCAAGGAGAGAAGGCTAAGGAGACATGCAGGGGCAGGACGGAGAGAACCTAATGAGAGATTGAATATAAATAGTAAGGGAAAGGTAGGAGTCAAAGGGGATTGACTGTGGGTGGAACAAAATCATTTTAGGAGCAAGTGTCAGGAAAGGTGGGGAGGAGGTGCGAGGGGCACCGTGAGGTGAGGGCAGGCAGCACTGCAGGGGACGAGACTTAACGTCAAGTAAGACAGACTAAAGATTCTGCTAAAACTGAAGACCTAAAGGGTGCTGGCAACTTTAGGGAGTATAGTTTTAGTGGAAGTGTGGGAAAAATTCCAGATTACAGAGAAATGAGCAAAAACAAATACAGGCTGCACTGAAAATGAAAGAAATGATACTTTTCTGACCCTTTCTAGGAAGCATACTAGATGATTTTAAGCAGGAGGTTCCTGGTTTTGAGGTCCTTAAAAAAAAAAAAGCCTATGTAAAAATAGCTGTGAAATAAACGCCAATCATGTGCAGTGAAATGAGGCACCACCAGAGGCCCAGTGTGATCTCCGCAATCTTATTTTCCAAACACGTCAATCATTCTGGATGTCTCAGGCAACTTGTTCTTTCACTGTCATTCTCACTTCAACGGTGCCATCAATTTTTAATTACTAACTTTTGTACATTCTTCTTTTAGTAAAATGAGAACCAGGTTTGTGAAAGAGAACCAGTCCCATAAATTCCTAGTGAAGCGGACAGGAATCCGAAGGGAAAAGTCACAGGCATCTGAGGTCTTTGTTGTCATGAGCTGAGTGTCCCCGCTCCTAGCCAAAGCCAACACCTCTTCCGCTTATGCCCTCTACCTCACCCTCTTGCCTCTTCAAGGACAAGGTCTTGGCAATTATGCCCTCTCTGGCATCCCAGTTCTTTTCTTTCTCTAGGAAAGCATGTGACATTTACTCTTATCTTAAAACAAAGCAAAGTGAAACAAAACAAAACACTCTCCCATCCCACATTCAGTTAAGGTCCTCACCCCTTGCCCTCTTCTTTTACAGCGAAGGTCCTGGAAAGAACTGATTATCTCTCTCCTCCCATCTACCCTTAAACCATTTAAATGCAGATGGGAGCTTCTAACTCTTGTCTAGACCACCAATGACCTTCATACTAAATCCAGTGTCATTTTCCAGCCCTCATTTTAGCTAATCTACCAGAAGCAGCTGACATCTGACAGGCTAGTCTCTTCCCTCTCCCCTGACATACTCTGTTTTTTTTTTTTTTTTTTGGCAGGATGGGGGTTTGAACTCAAGACTTCATATGTGCTGGGCAGGCCCTCTACTGATTGAGCCACACCCCAGCCCCACACTTGACACTTAGTTTCCAGACCCCTGTATGCCTCTGCTTTTTCTGCTTCCCCTTTAGCTACTTACTTTAGGTCCTGGCTGACTCCTCCTCTTCTGCCTGACTTCTGAATGCTGGAGTCTCCCAGAGCTCAGGGTTTTAAGTCTTTCTTTTGTCTGTATAGTGCTCATTTCTTCAGTGATTTCATCTAGTCTTATGGTTTTAAATATTAGCTGTATACTGATGATCCCAACTTTCTCTATTCTAAGCCTCTCCTAACTTCAGACCTTGGTATTAAACTGCCTACTGCCTATTTGACATCCCCGCTTAGATATCTATTAAGTACCTCAAATTTAAAATTTCCAGAATTGAGCTCCTATACTTCCTTCCCCTAGCTGTTCGGTTAGGCCAAAACTTTGGAACTGTGTTTGCTTTTTTCTCCCTTCTCCCGTTGCTCATCTGGTCTTTCAGGAAAATCCTCTTTGGCTTATCTTCAAAATATATGTATATTCTATACCTCTAAACCTCTCACCACCCCATTCCTACTGTTTTAGAAACACAGTCCAGTGAGGTTTTTATCCCAATTATTTCACCAAAAATATCCTTGTCAAAGGTTCTTCAGGTCACCAACTCTCATCTGAATTATTTCAAGAACCTTCCCAGGCTACTATGCTCAGTAGCTCATGCTTGTAATACCAGTTACTTGGGAGGCAGACATTGGGAGGACTGTGGTTCAAGGCATTCCCTGGTCAAAAAGCTAGTGAGACCCTATCTCAACAAAACAAGCCTGATGTGGTGGTGTGGGCCTGTTATTTCAGCCACGAGGGAGGACTTAGGTAGGAGGGTGGAGGTCTGAAGTGAGCCTGAGGCAAAAAGCCAGAACCTATCTGAAAAATAACCTAAAACAAAAGGGATGGCGGTCCTGAGTTTAAACCCCAGTTCCACCAAAAAAAGAGAAACAAAGGAAGAAAGGAAAGACAAAGACAAAGACAAAAGGAACCAGGAACCTCCTAATTTGTCTCCTTGCTCTAGACCCTGCTCCCTTCTCTTCACTGGCAATACAACTGTCAGAGGGGTCCTATTAAGTAATCAGACAGGTCTCATTGTTCTGCTTACAACCCTTCAAGCTCTGCCACCTCACTCAGTGAGGTGAAAGTTCAAGTGCTCATTTTGGCCGATAAGTCCTACATGATCTAGACCCTTAACTACTTTAAGTAGGGGCCTCAGGTCTGCAGCTCTGGCACTCAGTGCTGGGAACTTTGTGGAAATGCAGAATCTTGTCACTTTAGCCTTCCAGCTGAGGTCAAGTGTAGCAATGCAGAATCTCTGCCCTGACTCAGACGTTTTCAATCAGAACCTGCATTTTTATTAAGCTTTGTAGGCAATTCACAAGGAAACGCCTCTGCAGCCCAGGAATCCGATGCTCTACTCACACTGCCCTCCTGGCAATTTCTACAAGGCCGAAACATCCTTTCCTCATTGCACTGACCACTTCTAGAAAAATCTTCCCTAGACAACTCCATGCTAGTTACCTTGCTTCCTCAGGGAGGCAGGTATTCAAGTCGCCATCTCATTAAATGCTTTCTGGGATATTCTGTCTAAAAACTGCACCCCCAAACCCTTCTGATCCCTCTTCACAGTTCTTATTACTATATGTATTTTACTTATTTGTCTGACTTGCTCAGTAGAACTGGAACCCTCTGAGGACTAGGACTGTTGTCTCTTTAGATTTAATGCCTGGACCATGCATGGCACACAGACACTCTGAAAATTTTGACTGAGTGAACTGGATGTAGGAACTAGGCAATCTTTAATTTTGAGTAGTGAGGTCCAAAGGCAACTATTAATCAGGTAAAAAATGAGTGTGAGGGAAGGAAACGGTATTGTGGAGGGTAGGCTATTTTTTAAGGTGCTTTAAAAATATTAAAATAATTCATCTTAGGGATTAGATAGCACTTTAATTTGTTTGTGAATATATTTCCTCTTTGGCAAGTAACTTCTAAATACCTAGAAGGGATAGAAATTGAAGCAGAACTGAGATTTTCAAGGTAAGAGGTGGACTACTATTCTTTTCTATATTCCTTTACATGTTTGTCTAAGATCCCACTGAAAGGAGATGGGGGAGGGGGAACAAAGGAACAGAAGCCAGCTAATGTTCCTGATCACCTACAATAAAGAACCATATTAAAACCTCCAGGGCTGGGATGTAGTTCAGTAGTACAGCGCTTGCCTAGATGCATGAGGCCCTGGGTTTGATCCCAGCACCAAAAAAGACAAGACAAAAAAACCCCAAAAAACAAAAAAACAAAAAACCCTAAAAAAACCTCCGACCTGTGAGAAAAAATGATTTTAATAGCTGCGGTAATTTGAAGACAAAATGTGTTTGTTCTTTAAAGCTAGCTCTGTGACAGGTAGCTCCTTCATGTTGACTGTTTGCTAGGGCCACAGACTGCTATACTGTTCCCAGGAACTAGAGCACTGCAAAGACAGCAGAGAGCAGATGAGCAGTTTATGGCAGCTCTTACTCTCTTACAAAGGTGTAACAAACGCACTTTCTAATCTTAGGCTGTAAACCTGCCTCTTTAGCACCTCAGACTTTGTCAGGAGCTGGGTTCTGAAGCCTGTGCACAGGTCCCATGTCCCAAAGCAGCTGCTTACCCGGTTGTAGCCAGATCATTACTCTCCTTGGTGCCGTCTTCATCTGCAAAAAGAGGCGGCAGAGTGGAACTAGTCATCAAGCTTTCCATCTCCCTGAAAGGAAGCAAATAAAAATTAATTAATGGCTTAATTTCTTCTAGTTCAAGTTCTGCTAATTTAAGAGCTGACTGTCCTTAACTTTATCACGACAGCAGCAGAACAGAAACTGACCTAAATATTTATTTTCCTGACTTGGACACATGAATTTAAGCCCCATGGTGAACAGGCTTTTAACTCTGGTCTTATCAACTGACCACACTAAAAACAAGTTAGATATTAACATGATTTGGGAAATTTCTTTTTATTCATCTTTGAAAGTTCTTCACTTCCTGCAGAAGTTGTTAATCATGGTAACCCAGAAGCACTGTGACCCTCAGCAAGGAAGGCATTTAACCTCTTTGAGCTACAATTTTGCCACGTTAGCCACAAATTTGCTGCCTTAACCTACAGGGATATTGAGAAGAATTAAACTTAAAGTGCTTCATAAACGGAGAAAGGCTAAGAAAGCGAGTGCTCTGCATATTATTATACAGAGAAAAGTACTGTTACTACAGCATTAGCAGTCCTCAGTCCCACACGAATCATGCTTGGATTACATGGTAACAAACTGAGCGCTCCAAAAGGAAATAATGCAAAGGAAATGGAGGATGGAAGGCATATTGATGTGGTTCTGAGTCAAAGAAACCACACTTCCAGGTCAGAATTGTGCTTTACTTCGCTGTCAGAACCAACAGCAGAAATAACATGCACCTGGGTACAGGAAATAGCTCAGCTTAATTGAAGAAAACAAATCACAAGAACCCGAGGTTATCAGACTGAAAGGATAAAAGAACACAGTGACAAAGAGAGTAATTTAATTTAGCATACCACTACAAAGGAAGATTTCTCCCTTTCAAGCCTCACCACCAAGGGCTTCACCCCATATTGCTAAAAGCAGCAGCCTCCCATTCATCACGGGAGTGATATTCACACAAAACATTTCACAGTGATCCCAAACACCAGCCACTTAAGTGGAACTGCAAACCACTCGGGAGAAAGAGAGCCTCAATCAGCTGGTGATTGAGAAGCAGGTGATGGGAATTCTCAGGGGAGCCTTGGGCAGCCCTGTCGGGGCATCTGGGGAGCCCCAGTGAGGTGGAGGCAGAAGGAAAAAGACAGCCAGTGAGCCGAGGTTCACCCGCTCAGGGAAGATGGAAGAAAACGCAGGTGACATCCACACCACATTCTCCACTTTCAATGCAGTGATTTTTCCCAAACACTAACACTGATGTTTTATTTCTTATCATTTTCACTTCTAAATTTCTTGTTTAGCAGACCAGAAAAAGGAAAAAAAAAAAAAAAAGCATCTCTGTACCATCTTACCCATCACGGTAGGCAGAGCCTGGAAGGCAGAGAGGGGAACTTCCCACTCAGCCCAGAGTACAGAGTTTATTCCATGTGCAGGAGCTCATGAGCCATTTCCAGTCCTTTCGAGATAGGATGTTTACAAGAGGAATAGCTCTAACAAACACCACAGAATTCCATTCTACATGTTTTTCAGAGTGATCCAGACTCAATTGTACTTGGATTTTAATTCACAGTATACAAGACCAGGAGGAGAATCTGGCTTTCAGATAGCTAAGATGACCTTATACCAGCGCCAATGTTCATTTTATCAAAAGAAAACTATCAGTGAGATACCACGCAGCCTAACTGTACCAGACAAAAATTCAACAGCCAGGTATTCCCCCAAACCTTCAAAAGACTCACTGACTAGTTTCTTCCTAAAAGTGTCCCTAGAAGTCACCACCCTTTCAAGAACCTCAAGATTTAGCATTTAAAGCTTGTGCCATTGCTCCCACACCCTATGTTATCTGGTGGGGACAAATGAAGTGTCTTTTCATTTGCTGTGTCAACAGGGTTCTTGTAGAGTGTTCCCCAGACATCTTTAGCCATTTCTGAAATGTGGAGAGACAGCTGGATAACACAACCTTAACAACACATAAACAGATCCGATAAACAAAGGAAGTTCAGAGAACACACATTTCTTTTTCCTCCCTCTCTCTTAAGTTTGTTTTACTCAACCCATATGGTCTTCAGATATATTTTCTCAGCATTACTGAGTAGTCAGACCTCTAAGAAATGAGTAATAAAGTGGGTGGGAGGTGAAGGGGCCAAGATCAACAAAAGAAGGAAATGAAGAAAAGTCCAGTGAAACCCAAAGACTTCTGAACCAGTCTAGTAAGTCGGAAAATAAAATGATTCCCAAGAATATGGCTTGGATCCCGCGAGAACGTGCTTTCATCTGCTTTGAGAGGGGGTGATTCAAACTGAATCCTGGCTACTAAGCCAGTGAGTGCTTCAAGTGCAGCATCTGTGCCTGATAATATCCCGGTACAGAGGTCATACTGGACTTGGAAATCTCACGCAAGGCACTTCAGAAATGCAATGCAGGCTGCTCTGGAAGGGGAAAGAAATTTGTACAAAGGCAAAGTGATATTCGAGTTTGCTTCTCCACTGCAGTCTGTACAGACAGGCCTTTTACGTAGCCATTTCCTGGCACAGAGGACTCACCCAAGGCCTCTGGCTTCAAAACGTATTACCTTGGGCCTTAACTTTGTACCAAGGTCTGGACCTTTGCTTTAGAAATCCAAAACTTCCCTGTAACTCTAACCTTCGCTAAAATCCCTGATGTGTAATATAAAACAAAGGGCCAACTAATTTTAATAACAACTGTAAAAACTGTGAAGAGAATTATGTTAAGCATACTTATTGTTCAATATAATGTTCTCTCTCTGTAATAACATGGAGCGCCAAATCAGAATCAGAATGAGGCTTTGGTCAACAAAGGGCTAGAGAAACGGCAAGTGGGTGAAGTTTAAGGAGCGTTCCTTAACTTTCCTGACAATAGGGATTGTCACCTCCAAGAGTGTTATTCCAAATGAGCTGGGCAGTCCTGGAGGCACAATGTATACTTGTGCTGTTGGGGCTGGCTCTCTTCATGTCCTTTCTTCACTTGACACATTTTAAGCCCACGCCATTACATCCTCTCATGGAGATGCAGCATGTTTGTTCCCTTCCCCTCTGCAATCACACACCTCAGAGTTGAAAGGTGGCATTCTGCCCTCCTCATTTTTCTTACTACAACCCTATTTGCAAAACCCCTGGTTTCTTTACAAACCAGGTCGCTTGACTATTATCAACCTCAAGTTCAGAAATCTGACAACTTCTGATCATGTTAGCCATCGTAATTTCTGCTTGTAAAATTGACTTTTAGTCACAGAAACTTCTACTCACTGACACTTGATTTTCATTTCTCTGTGTAGCTAGCATTCCATGGCTATTTCAAATGCTCTTTTGCCAACACTCTTAATTCCCTTGCTTTGCTGTCTTTTTATACACCAGATGCAGACCAACTCTAAAGGATGTCACTATAAATTTATAGTACCCAACTATAACTAGAACCTCCAAGCTTTCAGCAGGCTTTCTGCATACTCTTAGGGTATCTCCCACCTTCTATGTCACCTCTGTTATCTTTCAAAACCACCTCAAACCTAATGTACCCAGAGCCACCAATGCAGTCCCATCTTTTCACTTCCTTCTCTTGTCATACTAAATGGCATCTAAATTGCCTTTTTTGGAGATGTAGTCAGTACTACAGTTATAATTACTTTGAAATGATAAGGTATTTGTACTTCCTGTGAAGTGGTATAATGTTAAGGCAAAGTGGACCAGGATTAGGTATAAATGTATAAACTGCAAAAGTCAGAAAAAGTAGGGAAGATAAAAACAGGAACAAAGAATAAGGGCAAAAAATATGAGAGTGATTAATCCAAAAATATCAATAATTGTTTTAACCATCAATGGTGTAAACATGTCAATTAAAATACAGAGATCCACTGGGTGTGGTGGTGGCACCTTCCTATAATCTCAGCATTCAGGAGGCAGGGGCAGGAGGACTGAAAGTTAGAAGTCAGCCTGGGCTACACAATGAGATCATATTTAAAAAACCAAACCAAACCAAAACAAAAAGAGTGATTGTTGGAGTGTACCAAAACCAAGATTCAACTGTACGTCACCTATAAAAAAAGCCACTTTAAACAGAAAGACACATACAAAAGTAGAGAAAGCTATACCAGGTTAATACCAATCAAAAGAAAGTGAAGTAACTACATTAATTTCAGACAAAAACTTGTGCCCACAAGAGAAAATGCTAAGAGAATGAGAAGACAGGTGACATACTGGGAGAAAATATTTGCAAAAAAACACATCTGATAAAGGGCCAAGGACCTGAACAGAACTCACTAAGGAAGATACACAGATGGCAAATAAAATTATTTAATGACATATGAAATAACAGCAAATTAAAACAACGATGAAGTACTGGTGTACACCTTTAGAACGCTACAGTCTAAAACAGTATGGCAAATGCTGGCAAGGATGTAACTCTCTCTGCTGCACAAAATGGTACAGCCACCATGGAAGGCAGCTGACCAGTTTCTTGCAAAACTAGCCATGCTCATACCATATAATCCAGCCATCATGCACTTTGATATTTATGAACTACAAACTTATGTTACACAAGACCTGAACGTGGATGCTTATAGTGGCTTTATTCATGACTGCCAAAATTTGGATACCATCAAGATTGTCCTTCAGTGGATGAGTAGAGAAACTGCATCCAGACAACAGAGTATTAGTCTGTGATAAAAAAAAAAAAAAAAGAGCTATCAAACCATGAAAAGATCTAAAAGAAACTTAAATGCATATTACTAAGCGAAGGAAGCCACTCTGAAACGGCTACGCACTGCGTGAATCTACCTATCTGATATCCTGGAAAAGGTAAAACTATGGAGATAGTAAAACAATCTATGGTTGCCACAGTTTGGGGTCGGGAGGCTGAGTAGGGAAGCACAGAGGATTTTTAGGGCAGTGAAAATACTATGCAGGATAATGCAGTGAAGGAAGCATATACTTTTCAAAACCCAAACAATGTACACCACCAAAAGTGAACCTGAAGGCAAATTAAGGCCATAAAAATCGATGTGGGCTCACTGACTATAACAAATGCACCA